TATACAAGCCTTTGAAAACATCATTTTTATTGCTGAATTGCTGAAAAAGAATGAGCATGATGATAAGGTGAGGTAAAACCTATTTTTTATTGTAAATCTATGATCTTTCGTAGATGAACAAAACCTCTACAGATCGATGAAGACTGGAATTTTGTTGCGATGGTTATTGATCGACTTTTCCTCTTCATTTTTGCGGGTGCCTGTTTTTCTGGAACGTTAATTATACTTCTACAAGCTCCAACGCTCTATGATTATAGAAAACCTATTAACTTGCAGTATCGACCAGCTAATTTAAGTGGCCTTTTTTAGAAGGAACAGTTCGCTATGAAGCTTTAAACTTAGTGGAGAGACTGTACACGTAACATAATAACACATATGAATAACAACAAAATGACAGACTTTTTTTACATTTATCATTTTACACACCACATATTATAATAGCGGGGACAAACACTATGTGAACCTAGAACAAATAAGCTGTAGGCTAAAATATATTTCAGATTGTGCATATTCTCAAAAGCTTATTTCTTTAAAGTTATGGTAATAAATGATTGTTTTCAAGATTGCATGTAGGATATGCATGATTTTGCCCTCGTCTATTACCATTTTGATTTACATCCATTGACTTCGAAGGATTTGTAAAATTTCAGTTTTTTTTTTTGAAATATCATACATGCAGAGTGAATATTAATTGTCGTCACTGACCAACTACTCCATTTGTTATTCGAGTTTTTCAAGTACAACTCTTCGTTGTACAATTTGAAATCGTTCTTATTTCCATCTGTCGTGCTTTCGCTCTCAGTATAACTTGATGTGAACTGTTTTCTTTCACTGTGCATCTTGCTTATCCTTTTAGCATTATTTTGTGTACGGTAAAGATAGAGTTGTTATCTGATTCTATTTATGAGCATATAATAGTGCTGTAGAATATGCGAGATTCCGGGCTCAAACCCTCTGCCAGGCCTCGGCGGCAGGTCTCCGGAAGGCAAGCTGGAATTCGTTTTTGTGGAAAAAGCAAAGGGGAAGT